ATTTCCAATACTGGACCATAATCAAGGATCAAACAGCAAATAGTAAATAATGTGAACTTATTTCTCGAGTAGGTGTTAGGCGCGTGGGGCGGGCGGCGGTGGGTGGGGGTGGTGGGCAGGCAGACAGTACGACGGCGCCGCTACTCGACGGCAATTCCCACCACCACTACTTCCTAGCTGGCATTTACTAACATCTGGATAAGCATTTACATTTTACATAGTCAATTAAGCCAAAATAAATAAATTAGTGTATATATATAATAAAATAATATAACAAAAGAAAAAAGGGTCAGTAGTGGCAGAAGTGTAAATAAGTGCAAATATGAGGCCAATTATGCAATTCAAGTGATCGAGGTAGATAATTTTACCGTGTCGACAAACAACTCACAATCTCCGTTTTCCTCGTCCACCCACCGCTTTCCCCCCACACGTGTAATAATTAGGTCTATCCAAACCCCTGCGGTCCCCACTTGCACGCGCCGGTATCCAATCAGATATCAACACGTTGACACAGCAGGAACCGCCCCCGTCATTACTGGATGCCAACTGTAACGGTCGGTCCACGTCAGGGAAAAGTCAGGGGGGGGAGGGGGAGCCACGTGAAGAGCACGTGACTAGACATGCAATTTGCAGGGTGGGGGTGGGGGGCCCACTTCATCCCGGAAAGGCCGTATAAAAGATGGCGTGTGGGCTGATGTTTTCGGAGGTTTTTTTTTTTGTTTTATTGAGGTTTCTTTGGGCTTCGTCCCTATCCACAAAACATCGCTGGGGCCCACCATAATAAATAAACTAGAATGATCCAATTGCCTATTTTAATTTTATTTTGAAAAACCAAAAATTGTAAATAAAACATAATTTTTTTATTACATAAAATAAACGAAACCTGCTTCTATTTTTTCTGCAATTCACGTTGGAAATATTTATATACGTAATTAAATACCCTGCGTAGTACGTATGATATAAATAAATAGGAGATATTAATCAAATTTATATAGTAGAAATAATAAGCAAAAGTAATTTCATAATTTGATCCTCAGACGAGTTTGTTGACCATAAATTTTTCCATCTGCAAAACATATAAATACAAGACAAGAAAAATATAGGAAACAAATAAATTTATTATCGAAAGCGGATTACAATCACCGTAAATTCCTATGGTTTTTCTCTCCTATTATAATTTTGATTCAAGAGCTTAAAAGCTTGTTCTTGAATCAACGAATGATTTCCTATCATGAACACCTCGAATTCAAATATGTTATGAATTTGAGGCGGAGGCTCGAGACGTGAGCTTGAGAGCTCGATATGTGTCTGTGTGAGTCTGTCTTTTACATGAACCGAAGCCCTCTTTTTATAGCCACGAGCTAGGGTTTCTTGAATTGTAGGATGAGCCGGTTATTTGTAAAGCTCAAATATATTATGGACTTTGAATGAGATCCAATTTAATAATCAATTTATTAGACTATTAATTGGTCATTTATCTCAAAATTTCGATGTCTACACCTTTGACAAAAAAAATCGAAAGTAAGTCAATTGACATAAACTCAATTACTCGAGCCGATAGGTATCTCTTACGAGACAATACGAAAAACTCCTCCATTTTTCTTATTTACAATAAAGTGGTGGAATGGTTGGGTACTTAAATCAAATCATTTGGTCTTGTTGACAAATGATATTGCTATCCATCTTTATTTTTTTAATTAAATTTTCTTTTTATATCCAATAATTCCCAAGAAAATAATTTGTTTGTCCGTTTTTTAGGGCATCGATGGGTCCCATTTTGGCAAGCTTGGGCTGGGCCCAAGGAAGTGGGCTAGAAGAGGAAACACGAGCTGAACCGGAGGAGTTTTGTACGAATTGGTGGCCCAAATTAGGCCTTAGCTCGTATGGCAAGGCGCAAATTGCATGGAAAGACTCGAAGACGAAGGAAAGAAGATATCTTATACAAGGAAAGGAGATAAAATCGGAGAAGTTAAAATAATTGGCTGATTACACGCCTCTTGTTTATAGGAAAATATCTAATATTAACTAACCTATATAAACACATGTAAAAACCCTCATTAGGGTTATGTTTTCAAGACATCAATAATATATTTCTTTACTTTTTCTCTAAAAACTTTATTTTATGTTTTACATATCTAGCCACCGCTGTCTTATCCGGCTAGTGGTGAATTCTTCGGCAACGCTCAAAGTAGGGTTTCGAAGAAGGTCTTGAGGGTGCGAAATTCGAGTACCATCAAGTGGCGCCGTCTGTGGGAACTTCGAATCGAGCTCAGACGTTGAGGGTCATCAATAAACGGGGAAAATTCTTATGTAGCAATTCTCGTATGTTCCTATTCATGAGTTTATGAAATTTAATCACATGTTTATATGGATGTTCAAGAAATATACTCTTAATATGATTTGATCTGATATGATTTTATTCTAATAATGCGTCTGTTATAGGATTCTTGATTTCCAAAATTCTCGTATGATTTCTTTTCCATGAATTGTGCTATGTTTTAGGGTAATGATCATCTTCCAGTTTATATGAAAATTTCATAATTGCCTAATGTTGTTCGCTTTTAAAATTGGTTTTATATTGCAAGCATGTTGTACATTAATATGCTCTTGATTGGCGAGATCGGCGAACACACGTGGTGCTGAGTATTTGAGTAACGGAATTTAATCTTTTATATTTTATGTGGAAGCCAATTCATATTTTTGGTATGCTGTGGATATACATGGTATATAGTCCCACTAATAGCAAAAAGATTTGATTTGTATTACATGTTTTGACTGTTTGCGCAGACATGTGGTTGTACTCTTAAGTTAACTTTAATTATAACATGTTGGTTTGTAATGAAATCTAGGAGGATATGATTTGAATATTTAATTCAATAACAAGAATACTTGATTTTAACTCCTCGAGCATTTTTGTAGATTGTGCTAATCCCGCAGGTATGAACTAATAGTTTCAAATAAAACTCGAGAGAACATCAGCTCGCATATCATCTCCTAGCCTAGTTGTTCGTGGAACTCGCATAAAATCCTCAGATCGCCATTCTATTAAGCTCCCAACGCCTAACCAAGCTCGGAGTTTATGGGCAGGCTTATTTATCCTTCGAGATTGTCATAACAATCCGCTTCACTATCTTGAGCTCGATATTAAGCAGGTCGTTGTTATTATAATTATTTTAACTAATCTTTATTTTGCAGTTCGTCTACCAATAGATCTAGAGTTCGGTGTTAATAAGCTCGTTTTTATGAGAATATCTCAGTTAACATTTCTTTGCAGCTCGTATATTTCTTAAAGCTCAATATTGATGAGTTTATTATTATAAGAGTTATTTGAGCCAATCTTTCTTTGCAGCTCGCCTATCTCTCAAAGATCGACGTTAACGAAACTCGTTCCTTTATAGCATCAATCAAATTAATCACACAATTTGAGTCTCCAGTGAACCACTTCGTTTAGATCACTAGAGACTAGGGGAGAGTAGATCATGATGGGAGCCAATTTGACATTTTATTGGGCTCGTGTAAATCTTTGGGCTTGAAGCCCATTGGTGAACCATGATCTAACTTTATCATGTTTAATGGATCAAAATTAGCTCAAAGCCTAAAAGGTAGGTATGACTTATAAATATTTCCACCTTCTCCTCTCTAAAAGGTACGCTTTATTACACACATTACACACTCCAACACACACTAAATCACACGATCCAAATCACAGATCTCACATCGTCTTCTTCTTTATTTCGTTTACCTATCATTTTCCTCTTTCCTGAACTATTTTACCAATTAACTTGAGCGTCAGAGGGTCTCCCCGGGGCTCAAGCCCCATGATTTCAGTAACCCTCGCATTAATAGGGCAAGTATGCTTCAATTTGACTTCGTCTGAGGTCGCGTTTGAGTTTGGTAACCCTCGTTTATTTAAGGATACTCGCATTTGTCTTTTTAAAACTACAATAAATGCATATTTCTTTGAAGGATTTACCTGTCATGAAACCTAATGAAGCGTTGCTATAAATATTTGACTATACCATCCTTTCAGAATTTTACTTCAATATCTTAATACATGACTCCACGGCTTTGAACTTACTCGTTGATGCTTGAATTTATTTAAGCTCGCCATTATTAAAGTCCAAAAGTGTCTCGAAAAGTTATTATATGCTCGCATATGTCTCTAAAAGTTCGCAGCTATCTGTCACAATTAAATTCTTGAAGAATAAATTATTTTGATTCAATTTAGCTTAAGCTCAGTTATCTGTTAGACTTCATCATGCATGAACTCGCATATGTATCTTCGCTATACATTTTATATTAAAAAAATGAGTTTGCTAAGGGTTGGAAGATCCCCGCGGCTTCGGCCCAAAAGGTAGTTGAATGTGTTTGATAAGGGTTGGAAGATCCCCGCGGCTTCGGCCCAAAAGGTAGTTGAAAGTATTTGAGAAGGGTTGGAAGATTCCCGCGGCTTCGGCCCAAAAGGTAGTTGAAAGTATTTGAGAAGGGTTGGAAGATCCCCGCGGCTTCGGCCCAAAAGGTAGTTGAAAGTATTTGAGAAGGGTTGGAAGATCCCCGCGGCTTCGGCCCAAAAGGTAGTTGAAAGTATTTGAGAAGGGTTGGAAGATTCCCGAGGTTTCGGCTCAAATGGTAGATGTGTTCGCCCGAAAGTAAGTTATGAACGTTTGCACGGTTGAGCTCATTACGCTTGTTTGAACAAAATATTAACCACTTATGGTTATGAAAATCAAACAAAAATAAAAACAATAATACTTCAATAATCGCGTGTTTTGAAAACAAACATAAAACATCAAGGTTCCGCGAAAAGCGAAAATGGTCGATTCTGACTTTTTATATTCTCAAGCGAACCACTTCGCTACGTTCACTAGAGAATAGGGGGGACTAGATGATGGGTCCCATTTTGGCAAGCTTGGGCTGGGCCCAAGGAAGTGGGCTAGAAGAGGAAACACGAGCTGAACCGGAGGAGTTTTGTACGAATTGGTGGCCCAAATTAGGCCTTAGCTCGTATGGCAAGGCGCAAATTGCATGGAAAGACTCGAAGACGAAGGAAAGAAGATATCTTATACAAGGAAAGGAGATAAAATCGGAGAAGTTAAAATAATTGGCTGATTACACGCCTCTTGTTTATAGGAAAATATCTAATATTAACTAACCTATATAAACACATGTAAAAACCCTCATTAGGGTTATGTTTTCAAGACATCAATAATATATTTCTTTACTTTTTCTCTAAAAACTTTATTTTATGTTTTACATATCTAGCCACCGTTGTCTTATCCGGCTAGTGGTGAATTCTTCGGCAACGCTCAAAGTAGGGTTTCGAAGAAGGTCTTGAGGGTGCGAAATTCGAGTACCATCAGGCATGTTTGTTGGTTATTACATAAACATGCCTTGAATCCAAATTCCAATAAACTATTGCCTCTTTTAGTGAATTTATTATCTCATTAAACCAACCAGCCGTCATTTATTAAGTATTAACCGATATATTTAACTAATTATTGGGCTTTTATCCGTTTGTTTCTAGAAGCTGAGTTTGATCTTCCATTTATCACTAAACATTCCTAAATTTTTTTCTTCTTACAAGTATAAAACATGTTTCACAACAACAAAAAAAAAAAAAAAAAAAAATCAAATATTGTACACCATTCCAACTTCCAAAGTTGAAGCATGAGGCACACTCAAAGCATAAGTTGGAGCCCTAAAATTCCTCCTCAAGAAATCATACCCATAATTTATCACCATCTTCTTCACAAAACTCGACCCTTGTTGCGCTCGCACGTACGAATGCCCCAAAATGTACGCGACCCCGGCTTCTCTAGCTTCCATCAGCTCCCGCAACTCGTCGCGAACCCCCACCTCGATTTTCGGGCTTTCCGGAATCACAAAACGGACCCGTTTCTTGGCCCGTGGGACACCATCTTCACGTGCCTCCGTAATTTCAGAATTCGACCCATTTTCTTCGCGGAATTGAACCCCGTTTGGATGAGTGGAGGGCGTGCCGACCACGACCATTTCTTCGTCGGTGGGGTCCGCTTTTCTCTCTCCGGTCCTTATAAACTCGGCCACACTGCAGACGAGGTCGTCCTCGAACTGCGGGCCGTCGGTGCGCGCGTCTCGGTACCCGTACCGGACGACGCACCGGTAGATGCGGTACTCCCTCGGCCCGATATGGCCCACGAGGAACCTCTCCTTGTGGGCCACGTGCGGGACCGGCACCGATTTCACGCAGAGGAAAATGAGGACTTGGTGGAAAGCCGGTAGATTGGTGACAAAGTGGGAGAAGATTGCGGGTATTCCCGAGACTAGCTCGGTGTGTATGAGGCCGATGCCGCGCACGCGGACGATGCCCAAGCCGGGCCCCAATTCGAGTAGCCAGTCGACCGAGACCTTGTTTTGGACGTCGAACTCGTACGTCTTGAGGGCCCCGTAGTGCCACGCGGACATCACCATCATGAAGAAGAACGCAATTACGATCGGGACCCACGCGCCTTCTAGAAACTTCACTAGCGACGCGGAGAAGTATAAGGCCTCGATCGCACCGAAGAAGAAGACGAACGAGATTGCTAGGAGGACGCTCCGGTGCCAGCACAAGACTATTACAAGGGACATCAAGCAAGTCGTGACGAGCATGACGGTTATAACCGCCAAACCTGTAATGGATTAAAACGTCAAGTTACGAGGTTTATTCCGTCTGGTATATCATTTACAAGACCTACAATATAATACCATTAATTATGGGTTTATTGCACTTATCACCCATGTGTTTACTCTAATTGTTAAAAAACCCCATATTATTTAAATATTAGCACAAACGCCCTTACGATGCCATTTTTTTTAGCAAAATACCCGATAAAACTCACCATAGAGGGCCTTGTGTGCTAAAAAAATGCATCATAGTAGGATGTTTGCTAATATTTATCAAACGAGGAGTTTTTTAGAAATTCGATATAACAGGAGATTGTTTTTTTTTTAGATAGGACACATCTACAAGATCGACCTACAATGCAATTAATTATGGGTTTATTGCATTTAGTACCCCTGTATTTACTTTAATTGTTAAAAAACTCCCTGAATTATATAAATATTAGCAAAAACCCCCTACGATGCAACTTTTTTTTTCACCACACCATTCAAAACTCACCAATAGTGGATTTTTTTACTAATATTTATAACACGAGAAGCTTTTTAGCAATTCGATAGAACACAAAGGGTACTAAATGCAATAAATTCGATTAGGTATAAGCATTTCTAGCCGAAATTTTCAATTTTTAAATGTAAATATGGTTTGAAGTCTTTTACCTGAAGCATTACCCAAACGACCCGTGTCTCTAAAACCAACGGTGACAGCCAAACATAGTACCATCAAAATCCAGTTGACTTCAGGAATATAAATCTGGCCATGAATTTTCGAAGACGTGTGGACTATTTTAACCCTCGGAAAACACCCCAAGGCAGAGCATTGCTTTATGATCGAGAAAGTTCCGGTAATAATTGCTTGGCTTCCAACCACCGCAGCAAGTACTGCTATTACCAGAACTGGCCATCTTAATGTCTCTAACACAATAAAACAAAATTAGTATCGTAAATATTATTTATATATTTTAAAGAACTCGAGTTAAAAAAGATTATTACCAGGTACAGATACGTAAAATCCGATGTGATAATCGTTTTGCATTTCGTGGTGCTGAGAGAGATAAGCAGCTTGGCCCATATACGCAAGGACCAGCGATGGATATACAAAAGACGTGAACGCTATCTGTAAAAGTATAAATACGCATTGGTAATAAGTTTACTGTTTATAGATTGTCGGGTTACTGGAGAGTTAATTGCATTTAGTACCCCTGTGTTTAGTCTAATTACTAAAAAATTCCCCGTATTATAAATATTAAAAAAACCTCCTACGATGCGATTTTTAGCACAACCCCCCTAAATGGCGAGCTTTTAGGGCATTATTTGCTATAAAAAAAATTGCGTCATAGGGGTGTTTTTGCTGATATTTACAATAAGGGTTTTTTTTTTTAGCAATTAGACTAAACACAAGGGTGTTGAATGCAATAAACCCGATTATTGGGTAAAATTAAAAGTGTTACTAACCTGTATTGACAACTGCGAAAAATGTCCAAGATCAGCAAACATTGCCTCTGATCCTGTTTTTTTAAATTAAAAAGAAAATCTTGTTAAGTTTTCTTGATAAATGTTTATTTCGAGAAAAAAAATATATAGTAAAAAAGAAATGTTTCGACTTGCCTGTAATGCAGAGTAGGATTCCTCCCAAAGACATCCATCCTTGTTTTTGAGTTTTCTTTAAGAATATGTATATGTAATAAGGAGATAGGGCTCGATAAACGTGAGGGTTCCAGTGAATGATATTATACAGACCAATCGAAGCGATGCAGAGAAGCCACGTTATTACAATGGGTGCGAACAAGAACCCGACTCTGTGGGTCCCGTAGTGTTGAAGGGTGAACAAGGCTATCAGTATGATACAAACAACTGGTAGTTCTACATCTGCGAAATTTCGTTGCATTTCCGTGTAAGAATTTGAGAGTTCAATTAATTCATAAAATATGTAAGAAACGTAAACGAGATATGATTTTAAGAGTTAAGATAATAAATTCACAAGCAAACTGCATTTTTTGCTGATTCTGATCTTAATAAAGAAAGCTTTACGCAAGTGATAATTGTCGTAAAAGCAACACTTTTTATCGTACAAGATTGTAATATCTTTAGATTGCGAATCCGACATGAAATTTTAAGCTTCCACTACATTAATTATTCAAATTTTCTAACATTATTTTTTTCTCCCCAATAATTTAGGGATGTTTAGAACACTCGAGAAACATTAATTTATTCTACAACGAAGAAATTTCGAGAATCTTACATTGGTGATGCTCTTTTTTCATCGCAACTTCGACACCGGACACCGCAGAAAAAACTACACAAAAAATTAACCAAACAAAAAATATTTAAAAAAAAAATCGAATTTTCAACGAACAATAACTTTAAATAACACGAGGCATACCCGAAATCGCCGGAGATAATATACCATCTCCGATCACCATACAAGCACCAAGCAAAGCCAGCACAAGCAAAAACCTCTGCAATACTCTGTATCTTTCAATCGTAGATTTCAACCTACCCCCAAAAGTCGACTGCGCGGGACTCTTAATATCCTTCGTGTAACTCGACAAATCCTCGTCCGCCAGCTGGCGGCTAGGCAGAGGGTTCACTTTGGCATGTCTGCACAAGAGTGAGTAGAGTGCAAATGTGCCCCCTTCACCATTATCATCAGCTCTCAGCACAATGAACACATATTTCAAGAGTGGGACCAAAGTCAATGTCCAAAAAATAAGTGACATAACACCATATATCTCCTCATTTGTGTTAGTGTGCTCAATATCTTCAGAAAAAGTACTCTTGTATACATACAACGGTGATGTACTTAAATCACCATACACAACTCCCAAACTCTGGTAAGCCAATGTAAGCACTGTTTTCCAAGATTCCTTCTGGAATATTCCAATCATGAAATAAAAAGATGGGAAAAATCAATAAAGATTGCAACTTTAGCAAAAAAAGAAGCATACTTGCAGAGAAAGAACTCGCCTTTACTTGAAAAATCAATAAAGATTGCAACTTTAGCAAAAAAAAGAAACATACTTGCAGAGAAAGAACTCACCTTTACTTGATTCTGGAAAACCCCACTTTCAAGATCCATCACAAAACCCCCTCAGAAATTTCAAATTGACATTTCAACTGCAAAATCAAGAATTTTGACCAAGACCCTAGTGAAGAAATTTCGAAAAAAGCCCAAAAAAATTAAACTTTATTTATAAATAGGAAAAAATGGGAATTGGATAAATTTAATTGGGATAAATAATGTGTCACTACACAACAGGCAGCGGCGGTTCAACAACCTCCGGAGAAGGAAAGAACAAATGAAGAAAAGGGAAAGCAGTGACAACAAAAGACTGATAAATATTTTGCTCTTTTGTGACAGTGAAATGAGTGTTGTATTTGTATAGTGTTTATTTTCTTGAATTTCAAAAATAAAAAAAGAAAAGTGAGATATGATTTAGGTAAATAATGGGTTTCTTAATTTGTTCCACGTTTCTGTCTGAGAAATGGTTTTGCGTTTGTTGGGGGTTAGTTTATTACTTGTTGGTGAACATCACGTATATTATTTAGGAGTTAGACAAAATGGTGTTCCACAGTTCGTGTTTGTGTGTGTGTGAGAGAGAGAGATATGGAGGAGAGAGAGGAGAGAGAGAGACGTGTGAACGTGTCAAATGAAATTAGCAGATAATAAGGAGATCAAGATGTAGATCTTTTCGTATAGGTTAGTGCTCAACTCTTCATTTATACGCGGTTGTTTATTTGATGCTATATCGAGTGATTATTAATCGTTGATCTGCACGTAATTATATATATTTGTGTTTAGTGGGAAGTTATTTCATCACATCGACGCTTAATATTCACCCAATGTATTTCATCTGATGTAGTTTCTCAATAACCAAAAACCCACTCTTTTTTTTTTTTTATTTAAAGATTCTATTAAGTTTAATTCACTCAATATTTATGATATTGTTGATTTCAAAAGCTAATTAAATAACGAAACTATCTGCATTTATCTCATATTTATCATGAAATAAAAGCAACAAATCCATTTTTCGAACCTATTTTTTAAACGAAGAAGCCCGCAATCAATCATATTAATGCACTGGATAAATATACACTAGTTTAGATATTCAGCTGCAACAATTGCTACATCATCCCTTACGTGATTTTTTAACATTTTCGATAGTCCTACAAGAAGTAGTTATGACTAGAAAAGTTCAAACCCTAAATATAATACAAAATATCAAATCGTTGATTTTTGTTAATAATAAAATGCGAAATAAGATAATTTATGAATATTAAATTATCTACTTCCCGGCCTATTTGCAGGCTGTTACAATTAGGGTGACCAATAATAAATTATAAATTAAATGTATAAAGTTGGCTTTCATTATTTCAACTTTCCTAATGGTTTTTTAACCCCTCTTAAAAGTAACTGTTAATTAAAATCTTAATTAATGCACCAAAATGAATTTCACGAGTAAGATTTTCACCACATATATGTATTAATTATTTACGAATCGGGGTTTGATAAAATGACTCTAACTCGATCCAACTCACTAAAAATCAGGTTCGACTAAAATATAATTAGACCGAGATCTCGAGCTTCAGTTAAGTCCGCTTTAATTGTCAGTCTTACTTAGAATTACCTAATATATCTAGAAGGTCACTAAGGACTAAAAATAACCAATAAAAATCATAGACAAATATGAAATATGGCATAAATGTAATAAAATCGTCTAAATATTTATTGTCGTGCAAGCAAATAATCTCAATCTATATATATTGTGCCAAAAATAAAATTTATTATTATGTATCGAATATTAAGTGAAATATCAACTTTAATTCATTTTATTCATTTCAAGTATCAAGAAATCTTGGGTTGAATAATCAAAGATTTATATGTACATATAGCTGTCAACAAGCAATAATTTAATATAGAATAAGTTTTGAACGTCAATGCTTTATATATATTAATAAATAAATTTTTATGGAGTTTATTTTATTATATGTTTTGACGTAAGCATCAGTATAATTATGTGATGTGATATGTCTACACATTGCACGTAATGTGATATTGAGATCTTATGTTATTTACTTTGAGACGCCAATATTGTTTTTCTATTTAATTATTTATTATTTATAGCTTTTCCAATTAATTAATTCTTTTTGAACAAGAATTAATTAATTATTTTTTTAATTTGAGAAGGTAACTAATTTTGGAAAAATCATGTCTAAAATAATTATATATATATATATATAAATAATTTGAAGATTTCAACTATTTGAAAGCGTCAAGAAACATTTATCATTAATTACAGAATTAATGATCACTTGAATTTAATAATTATTAATCACACCATATGTTCTGAGTTCTGACGTATGGTTAACGTATAGAAATTTTGTATCGAGTTGTATATTTCGTTTCAATTTAATATTGTATCCTACACTTCACATCCCATAATTTCAAATACATTTAATAATAATAATAATAACAAGAATAAAATAAAAAAAAAAAAATCTCCGAATCAAAATTGAAGCAGACAACTTAATAATTAATATACCGAGTAAAAGTATTACTTATTTAATTTGGTTTATCAGAGGTCATATAATCTCTAAATATGAATGATAAGCCAACTTAATTGTCTCTAATTTGCTGTCAATGGCTAAAATATATGATATATCTATAAATAAGACATAAAAGATTATTAGAATTAAATATATGTATAAAAAGGGTATGAAATTAATGAACAAATGAAGGAAATAATTTGTGGTACTTATACACTTTGAGCTGTATATGTGGTCTCACTAAAATTGTGTACATGTAAGACTTATTTAGCTATCTATATATATTTTCCCGAATAAGTTTGTATTATTAAACTTGTATAAATATTAATGTAGTTATCTATATGATTGATAAACTATCATATATTAAAGTAATCATTGTTTTTATTTTTGAAATGTTATTCGGTGCGTCGCACGCGAAAAATGCTAGTTTTTGATAAAAGAAATATTGTCCAAAATTAGGCAAAACATCAATTGCTGCATTAATTTGATAATTAGGTCACACAATAATCCAGAATGAGAGAATACTCAAAATAGTATGCCAACCCTCCCTCTTTTGGACTCATTATGATTAAATACTTTTCATTCATTTATTTTATCAAGAAAATTGCACCATGTAGTAGAAGAGTTTGTCGAAATTGAAACAACATGTACAATAATAAATACTTCATTTATACTAACAAAAATGTATTAAAAATTAAAATAAAGACAGTTAGGTAGATGCACAAAGATTAAAAATAAAAAAATAAAAATATTTTTTGTATTTTTTAAAGAAAAATCCAAAATTATAATTTCTATAGATTAAGAAAGGCTATTAAATTATATTATATCTCCATTTAAATAATCATTAATAAATAATAAAGTGTAAAATTGATAAGAAAAAAAATATACTTTTTTTGGAGAATTACACAAATAAATAATAAAATCCACGTCACGAATTGAATTATAATAATTTGGTGGGGTGCCAAACATATTAAGGTGGTTTTGCTGATGACCTAATATTTGAGTGGTACGTGACCATTTCCTCCATTTAGACAATAATGCAAGAAATGGACAATCACAATAAATGTTTTCTATCAACGTATGTAGAAATAAAATCATAATTCGATAAAAGTTGATCACACGTGGTGTAGGCCTGTTGACTTTGACCCACCCGAATAAGGTTGTCCCATAACCCGACCCGAGCCACCTCAATGTGGGCTTGGGCCCTCTTATGTTTGCATCAAGAAGCAGGCCTTGGCCCGAATTCAGACAGTTCTAATTTTGATATCTTGAAAAAGATCCAAACAAACAGGAACGAAAACTATATATATATATATATATATATATATATATATATATATATATATATATATATATATATATATATATATATATATTATATATATATATGCAGAGGTGATTATGTGTAAATCGAAGGTGAAAGTTAACACTAGTGTATTTCACCGGATGTGTGGTCTACAAGACCTTGCGATACGATGAATAGTTGACCGTAACCAATCGTTTGATCAAACAAACAAAAATATTAATAGTACAGACATGTGACAGAAGAAAGATAAATATCGACTTCTAGAATGGAGGATCCATCGAATACTTGTTGCTATCTTATCTAAAAAAGTGAGCCGTAATCGAATTCCGTAGTCGAGAGAAACAAGTTGAATATATAGAAGAGGTAATTGATCATAGATAAACCAACAGTTTTAATTTGCATGCTCCAAAAGATTGCGTTTGTCGAACTCTGTTAATCAATCTTTCAATTCAATCACCTTACGGGCAAATGAGGGTAAGCAGAAAGCTGCAGAATGGATCTAAGTACAGAAAAAAAAAAAAAATCAGATTCGAATAATAGAAAAAATGCCGAATAGTTGCACGTGAAAAAAACATAAAAGTCGAACATAGTACCTCGGAGTTGTAAAACCTCAACGGTCCTTTTGCTTGGGCAAGACTGTCGTCAGCATCTATCGGATTAACCGGACGTTTAAAATCAACGTCAGGACCCTCAGTCGAACAAAGCATGAATCCAATAACACCACTGAGAAAGAGAAAAAACGGCCAATAATATTCACAAAAGCATATATTTATATAAATATATATATATATATATATATATATATATATATATATATAAAGGATGGTTTATCAATATATTTATTTGTATGACAAAGTGAAAAAAGACGAAAGAAGAAAATGCCTTGGGTAAGTGGGAACTGTGGTCCAAGCATAATTGACGGAGCCTTTGAAAATCTGGCGGCAATTTGAAACAATATCTTCGATAATGTGCATGTGAAGCCAAATGCTTTCGGCCTGAGTACACATAACTCCTCCTGGACGGAGTGCCTTAGCTACTGATTCAAAGAAAGGCTTCTCAAATAATTCCTGCGCTGGACCTATGTGATGCAAAAACAAAAAAAGAAGAAGAAAAAGACGACTTTATTATTATTAAGATGTAACTTTTTTGAATAATTAAGAAACCCTTATTTTAAAGATAAAAAACACTACCGATTGGGTCGGACGAATCCACTATAACTGCATCGTATGTTCCTTCTTCCACAGCTTTGAGAAATGCAACTCCTTCAAAGATTGGAGGAAATCTAGTTAGGCTTATTTTTAATTTTTATTTGTTTTTTGTTAATTGAGGGGAAAAATAAGTTGAAAGGACATTATAGCTGACTGTACCATCTCCAATGTGTAGCGTTACACGGGGATCATTAAATCCCACAGCTACACTAGGAAAATGTTCTTTAGAAACCTGAAAATGAGGAGTAAAAATCAGTTATCTCATGTTAGCTTTAAAGTCTCGGACTTGGATCATGACTATCGATGCCGAAAAAGTTCAGAATGCTGAAAATGCAGATTTTGCATTGAGAAAAAAAGCACTGGTCCAAGCATTGTAGATATATAGATTGATGATATAGAAAGGAAGAGAAATAAAAAAATTAAAAAAGAAAATAAGTAAGAGTAATCGGAATTACTCACATCAACTACCATTTTATCAATCTCACACATATCAATCTTCTCAACCGATGAATGACGAGCCACTTCACGCAAGACACCACCATCTCCTCCTCCAATTACCAGCACCTGAAACAAAATCTCCCGTTTAAAACTTGAACAAAGGCAATAAATAGTAAATAATAACTAATAAGATATTCAAAATGATTTTGCCTTTGAGATCTACTCTCTCATATTTGTGCCCTGATCAAGCAACTTCAAACTCGCTATGAAGACTGAATAATACAGTGCATTTGATTCACCCATTTTCTATAGTTTATTTTGCTTCCCGTTAACACACGGACACAGAGAAACTGCCACATGTTACACCATTTTGCAAATTCTATTTGTGCATCGATGTGTATCGACGGAAAAAGATAATTCAGCATTATCTCAGTTTCATTTAGCTTTTTTAGTGTCGAAATACAAATTACTTCTTACTTATCACGGGAAATTCAGGGGAAATCCATCACTTCTTAATTAATGTACATGTTAAAGATTCTTAGAAAATAAATACCTTTTTGGGATTCAGTATTGAGCAAAGTGGAAGATGAGTGATCATTTCTTGATAAGCACATTCATCCCTCTCAGTGAGTTGAATCACACCATCCAAGACAAGAACCTTACCGTAAGTCGCCGACTGCAGTAAGATTTAACCATGAATTATACATTCAATTATATACAACAAAAAAGTATCTGCTACAAACAAACTAATAACAGGACTTTAAATTTTAAGTACCTGAAAAACCATTACATTCTGGTAATCAGACTTCCCCTGGAATAATATTTTTTCTACCTTCAATGAGTGTGCTTCTCCTACATGTTCCACAGAGGCAACCAATTAATTCAAATCCCTAATCTCCAAAATTAAGGAAACAAAATCAAAAATTTCAACCAATTCTCCCCTAAACACATACAGCCATAAATAAAATATAAAATAAATTCACAGCGTCAAATTCACAAACAGGATGAGTACATATCTAACAAACATGTATGTATAACTGTATAGCAAAACCGAAAACAAAATTACCAGGCCACATTGGACTAATCTCCGAAAACCACCCCGGAATAACAGATGAAATGCTATCCGGAAGCTCCGCCGCCGCCGCCGCCGTGCCGGAATTGTTAGCTTCCATCTCGCGCCTCCCCCTTCGTCACGTTCTCCTCCGCTAGGTCTTAAATAGATAAAGCCTTAAACCCTCTGGGGCTAACGGAAAGGCAAATGTTTTTCACACAGTGAGTGTGCGAGCGCGTGAGAGAAAATTGATTGGAGAATCTGCTTAGCATAAACGCACGTTGGTGTTTCACTGTCGTTTTGCTTTTTGCGTTACTAATTTTGTATCTATACGTTTTCTATCTGTATCTATCTACTCCCTAATTTCATTATTTCGTAATTATTGTTAAATGAATCTTAATTAAGTTTTCAATTTAGTTAATTAAATAAATGAAATCGACATTTAAACCTCTAATTTTTTTTTTCTTTTTAAATATAACAATGAAACAATAATTATTGAATGAGTATAAAATAAAAATTACATTGGTGTAAATTGCAATTATTTGATTCATTGGGATTGGGAAAAAGCAGCTAAATGATTGGGTCTGTATTACTTTCTTTATGGGGTTCTTGGGGTTGATCTGTAATTTTCTATTAATTTTAGTGCCTTTCTTTTGAAAATTTCGCTAATGGTCCCTCATCTTGATATTTAGTCACACTTTGACGCTTTATATTTCAATTATCCCATTTTCATCCTTCATCTCTATAATTCATCAGACGATGATTTATTTATTTAATTCATTTATTTATTTATGTATATATAATTTGAAAAGTAAAAATAGCTTTTATAGATAGCCTTTGTCAAAGAATCATATTCTTACATTACAAACTTTTGATTAAAATAAAAATTGCTTTGTATCCTGACCGATCCTTTAAGGAATTTCATAAACATAATTGATGCTTAATTCGAAGCATCCAATGTTTATAAATTAAGGAATATTTTTCCATCATTTACTGTAAATGGAATTAAACATTTAAATGAAATAGAATAAAGTTACATGCTAGATTCAAATTTAAATCAATGGGAGATTAGCAAAATGCAGAGAGTTACTTCAACTAGCACTGTACACAAGTTTCTTGCACAAAATCTCAGTTGTCATTCATCACAGGTAACTAAATGCAACATTAATGTAATTAAAACCGATGAAAATCGATCTCCTGCAAATGTAACGCATAAAAACACACAATTGATTAACTACAGTACAATGACACAACCCATATCTAACTTTCTTTCGATTTCTTTTCTGTATACGCATAATTCTTTTGAAAATCAAGAACCGCTCGCACCAAATGCCAGAATCCAATCTCAGGCCAAAGCACACCGGGGGAGTACAGTAGTGAACGTGCACTCTGCCACAGGAGAAAATTGCTCAATCGTGTCTCGCCAGAAGTTCTGATTATAATATCAGGATCAGGTGCAACTGCCATATACATATGTTTCTCCACATCCGCCACGTCAATAAGCGGGCCCTCTCCAATTTCATCCAATAATTTCTCGTTCCCTTTCTGTTTCTCTTTACAGCTCTCCTCAACGGCATTCACAATCTCATCCGTAGATGTGTAGGCAATGCATATAGAAAGAACCGCCTTCGAGTTATGCCAGGTGGCGTTCATGGCTCGCTCGGCAGCTAGCTGGACGGGCTTGCTCAGGAGTTTAAGGTTTCCGATGAAGTGCACTCGAACACCATAGCGGTTGACTATGCTCTCTTTCTCGATCAGCCCTTCGATCTTTTCTTGTATCAGCTGCATAGTGGATTGCACCTCTTCGGGGCGTCTCTTGAAATTCTCAATGCTGAAGGCATAAATCGTGACGTATTTTACGTCCAGCTCGTAGCAGTATTTCAACATGTTCATAAGGGTTGAATATCCGAATCTGTGGCCTGCCCCTTCTTCTAGGTTTTGCTTTTTAGCGTATCTTCGATTTCCGTCCATAATAAAAGCAATGTGTTTTGGAATAGGACCAGCAGAAAGAATCGAACCTATGCATCTGCGAAGAAAACTGCCCACAGCTTCGATTACTTGAGTTGCTCGATTACTACTCTGTTTCGCCATAAGTACTTCAAATAGAAGTGCTGGAATGTAAAGCCAGAATAACCTGATAACAACATAAAGAACCATATAATCTTTTTCGGTAAAATCCAAACATGGATGTTCATAATCAACAAGGATTATTCATGTGAAATTATCGATGTAAAGTGTCTGCAAGAAAATTAGCCGCAGCTTTACACAATCAGCCTTTTCAAATCATTACATAGATTATAGGAAATAAAATGAAATCCAAATCGAAAACCATGATTATCTATCTCGGAAGTCTAAAAGAAAATTGGTCACAAATATCGAAAATTTTGAGTTCTCAATGGAAAATATTTCTAAATTATGCTTTGTAAATCACTGGTAAACTCGAAGTAGGAGCTTCGATCGAAATTTTACGGGATTGGATTACATATCAAGGTATTATTAGATACAATGAAAAATGGATCTGATCTCATCTCAGATCAAAAAATTCCTTTGAGATTTTTGAAGAGAGTTTTGACTATAACAGCTAGAAAGTGTTGAATTACAGAAGAGAGCCTATGGTTCGAGTTAACTAGTCGAATTTAATTGCAGAGTAAACTGTAAAAAGCTATTAACAATAACACATAACCTAACTAAGGCGTAAACAATCAATTCGTGCCATTAACGAGTCAACGAAAGGTAGAAACTGAATTTCTACGGCGTGAATGAATATCTGCAAATTCTCAATACCAGCATCCATACACATACATACATGTACCAAACCACAGATGGTAAAATACTTAAAAACTGATTTTTTTTTTAATTAGATTTTCCAAATGCATTAGCTAGAGCAGTTCGCACAATTTGTTGGATCAATCGATGAAAAATTTATGAACTATCACCCATCAGTTAGAACTTGAAAACAAAAGTTATACCTGATTCCTGCAAATTACGACGAAGAGAGAGAGAGAGAGAGGAAGTGACGTAAGCAACGAGGTAAGCCGGATTTTTAATTCCTGCCGCCGGCTACATGAGGGCTTTCCCTCCCGTTTGTTCCTGCCGGCGACAATTTTTATTAGATTCGTAGAGATAATAAGACGAATTTAAGGTGCTGACTGAAATATCGAATAATATTCGAGGGCAAAAAGGTAACAATGTGTTTCAAATCCGAACCGGACCAGTCCACGAACCCGGTTCGATTGGTAATATAAACCCGAAAATTGCAAAACCCGGTTTAAAATGGTAAAAACCGGGATTTTGGCCGGCCGAACCGTAAACCGGCTAAAACCCGGGTTTTGGAGAAATCAAACTAAAACTCGGTCAAAATTGCCGTCGGAGGAGGCGGAGGGTTTGGGTGGCGCTAGTGATCCGGCTGTGTACTGAGGTGTTAGGCTGGGATCTTCAATGGTGGATTGACTGGTGGTGCTGATTGAAGAAGAAAATAAGAACGGCGGAAAAAGAGAAAAAAAAAAAACAAGGGTTTGGTGTTTGGGGCTGGGGTAGGTGGGTGGGCGAATATGTTTCAATTTGAAGGGAGGAGAGTCTTATGTTTATTATTTATTTATTTAAATATTTATTTATTTAAGTAGAGAGAAATAAATACCTTCTTCCACAGTCCCACACCTTCGTCCGGAACTGTCAATTCGCCGGATTAAATAAAACCCTAACCGCCACCTTACGCCCGGCAGCGTCCACCACACCACCGCCGTCTCAGCCGGAGCTGATTTTCGTAACCTACACCATCCATTTTCCTCCGCCTGACCGTGTAAATGCCATCAACGCATTAGGTAACAATAGTTTTTTTAGCAAATTCTATTTATGTGACTGAAATCTCCGACTGATTCATATTTGCTTCGTTTGTTCTTCACTGTGTGTACCTGTATGAATAATGTACAATTAGGGCTTTGTCTGAGTTCGGGTATGAATTTTTTATTTGGGTGAAACTTTCTGTCTTGTTTGTGATTCATTATCCCATGAAATTAGATCTATTTTCTGAATACTCTTACACGTTTGTATATCGACAATTGTTGATGCACAGTATGTATCTATACTTGCAAAATTATCGAATTACACAATCGTGGAATTCACTATCGAAATTATCGAACTACACAGTATGGATTGTGAGCTTGCTTCTTAAAATATCGAGAAATATATGCTTCTTTTGAGCTATGATGAGTTGAAAAAAGGCGAGGAAATTCGTTAAAATATTAACAGGTATGTCTAACTTATTATACAGCAAGAGAAAACTTGTCAAAAACAATCGATTAGTAAGAATTACGAAGTCGTCAGCTACCAAATCTATAGCTTTTCAAGTTCAACGAATATTAGAAAATACAAAATCCACATAAGTAGCTTACAATGAGTTGGCCAATTAGAAAATTTTGCTCGTATTTGTTATTGAAGGTCGATATTTAGTTATAGGAAGGAAAAAAGATCGTATGATATTCTTGAAAGAGATACATGTCATTTTTCTACGTATTAGATATAATAAGTCTATATTGTTTACTCAGCTTTTGTCAATTTGCGTTTACTTCAGGTCTGAAGTAAACTCATCAAGATGACTCGGTGCCTGGGGTTTGTTTATATACACTGAAGTGTGTGCGTGTGTGTATATATATACATATCAGTACATTGAATTCCGAAAAAATGACAGAGACATTAATAAGCTACACAGCATGCAGACACCTCTCGCAAATGTTCTTTGCTGTATTCTTCTTTCATTGTTCCGAGTACATTCTAGCGATTTCGATTCATGGGAAAAACAGAGTAACCCTGAAATCTCTTCTAGTAACCAAAGCCTATGCTCTGGCGATGATCTGTTCTTTGATAGAATACAGTTTAGAAATTTATTTCTTCCCGGGAATGAAGGAGAATTGGTCGGTTAGCAACACGGGACTTTGCTTGGTTTTCATAGGCGAACTTGTAAGAAAGTTGGCTGTAATAACCGCCGGTAAGTCCTTCACTCATCTGATAAAGAAATATCACGAGGAAAGTCACGTACTGGTTACTCACGGAGTTTACGAGTATATCAGGCATCCGAGTTACTTTGGCTTCTTTGTCTGGTCTGTCGGTACTCAAATAATGCTCTGTAATCCATTTTCGACGCTTGCTTTTGCTCTAGTTGTTTGGGGTTTTTTCAAACGAAGAATACCTTACGAGGAGTTTTTCTTGAGGCAGTTTTTTGGTTCGGAGTACGAGGTATATGCTAGACGGACTTGGTCTGGGATCCCGTTTATCGAGTGATTTGACCATTTTCGGGATTTGTTTGTACCATGATCTTGTCTGTTATGATTTTGTATTTGTATTTGATCTTCTGGTTATTCTCATTTCTCTAGTTAGAGCTATTT